CTCTTCCTCATTCAGCCCCTCAGGCACTCCCCTCCCCCCCAGTGTCACCCCTCACACAGCCCCACCCACGGCGTCACCCCCTCACAGTCACCCCCGTTCACTCCTGCCCTCTGTCCCCTCTCCCTCTGCTGTCCCCACTGCCCCCCACCATAGCCCTGCCCCAGCCCCCAGGACTCCTTCACCCACCCCCGCCTGCCGGTGCAGGGCCCAGAAGGGCAATGACACTGGTCTGGGGGCACCCTGACCCCCACCCCCGGGTCCCACCCCATTTTAAGGCACATTTGGCCATTTTGTTTGGTGTGAGGCCCTGCTTACCTGCGCGCAGAGCGCCATGGCAGCCCCACAGCTCCCCTCCGGCGGGGACTGAAGGCCGGAGCCACGGGGCCGGGGGGGCGGCAGCGGGCAGGCTGCGGTTTGTCACAAAAAAAAATAAAGATGACGTCGGGGGAAATGCAGCGGTGGCGGTGAGGTCAGCGCCAGGGGCTTTTCACAGGGGAACTTGCCAGAGAAAGGTCACAGTGGCAGGGTTTGTCACTTGGGGTCCCCAAACCCTGTGTCCCCCAGCCCAGCTCACACACTGGGGGCTGCCCGAGCCTCCCGGCAGGGTGGTCTGGGGGCTTGGGGGCCTCTCCGCCTCCGGTGCTGTGCCGGTCTGGTTCTCACCACATCGGGAATTCACCCAGGGACATCCTCCTCGCTCAGAACCCCCAAGCTGGGTGCTGCCCCCCACGGCACCTCCAGTAACCCCCGCTGTGTGGGCAGAGCAGGGAGGCCAGGCGGGGTGGCTGTCAGTAGCCCCCCCAGGCGAGCCCAGGGAGGGACTGAGCCCCTCGTGCAGGGCCATGGGCTGCCCAGATGCTCCCCACAGGGCTCGTACAAGTGACTGGGGGGACAGCTGTGGGGACAAGGTGCACCCCTGTGCACGTGGTGGCACTGGGACAGGAACACTTGGCTCACTCCTCTCAACATGCCCTTCTCCCAGCACTGTGCTCCGGGAAAGCAAGCATGGAAACCTCTGCACTGCTGAGTTCTCGGCTGGTTGGTGTGACCCAGGGAAGACAAACTCCTCTCCTGGGTCCCTGCCAGGGCAGGACACGCTCTGCCCAAAGAGGACGAGCCATCGGTGACACAGGAACCACCTGGCGCTCCTCCCAACAAACCCTGGTGACCACTGCACGGCCAGTGGAGCACATCCTGCAGGGCAGAGCACCGCACACCATCCCACCGCCACCTCCCAAAGCCGTTCCGTCCCATGGAAATGGTGGCCAGAGCAGGGCGCACTGTGGGGACAGACACCATGGACGGACATGGCGGAAGGAAACCCCCCCGCTCCCCATTTCTGAGCAATGCTCGGATCATCCGGCTGTTCCTCCCGTGTTTCACTATGAGGACCTGCAAAACCACCGCGGGGAGTGTTAACTCCCAGCCCCCCTCCTGCACACCCCGTTTCAGAAATGACGGGCGAGTGGCTCGGGTTTTCCCGCCTTTACTGCGGAACTTCTGGGGTGATTGAGATGTAGAGTTGAGGGATTTTATTGTCTCCCAGCTGACAGCGTGTGGACACTGCTGCCTTTCAGAGGCAGAGCTTTCACAGAATGGTTTGGGTGGGAAGGGACCTTAAAGTCCCCCCAGTGCCACCCCCTGCCCTGGGCAGGGACACCTCCCACCAGACCAGGTTGCTCCAAGCCCCCTCCAACCTGGCCTTGAACCCCTCCAGGGATGGGGCAGCCACAGCTTCTCTGGGCAACCTGGGCCAGGCTCTCACCACCCTCACAGCAAAGAAGTTCTTCCTGAGGTCTCATCTCAATCTCCACTCTTCCAGTTTGAAGCCCTTATCTCTCATCATTACATGCCCTTGTAAAAAGTCCCTTCCCAGTTTTCTTGTAGGCCCCCTTCAGATACTGGAAAGCTGCTCTAAGATCTCCCCAGAGCCTTCTCTTCTCCAGGCTGAACCCCCCAACTCTCTCAGCCCCCCCCTCCCAGCAGAGGGGCTCCAGCCCTCCCAGCATCTCCGGGGCCTCCTCTGGCCAACAGCTCCGTGTCCCTCTGATGTTGGTGGCCCCAGAGCTGGAGGGAGCACTGGGCGGGGGAGGGGGTCTCCCCAGAGCGGAGCAGAGGGGCAGATTTCCCCCCCTGACCCTGCTGCCCACGCTGCTGGGGATGCAGCCCAGGGTGTGGGGGGCTTTCCGGGCTGCCAGTGCCCGGGGCCGGCCCATGGCCAGCTTGTCACCCCCAGCTCCTCTCGGAGGGACACCCTCCACCCCTCCCTCCCCGCCCAGCCCCCTCACCCACAGCCTCACACCAGTTCCCTGCCAAACGAAACCGGGCAGCGGAGCGGCCGCCCCCACCCGAGGGCCAGGGCTGCCCGGGGAGCGGGACTCCGCCTGCTCGGCCTTGCTCAGAGAGAACCCGGGTCCCCGGGAAGGACGCGCCTTCCCGCGACACCCGCCTCACCCACAAACGAGCAGGCCCCCCCAGGCCCGGCAGGCGAGAAGCCCCCCCTCCCGCCCCGCCAGCTGCCGCCCGGGCGGGCCCTCAGCGCCCCGGCGGGCGGCCGAGGCGGCGGGAAGCGGAAGCGGAAGCCGTCACGGCAGCCCCGCCCGCTGCGCAGCCCCCCCAAAGCGCATGCTCCGCTCTGCCCAGCCGGGCGCGGCGATTCTGACTGCGTCGCAGGCTGAGCCAATGCCCTCTCGGTATCGGGCTATTGACAGCGACACCAGCCTCTCGGAGCGCGCAGCCGCCCGCTTGCCCGCCTCCAGCCTGGTACGTACATTCGCCAATCGCATTGCGAGCGGGCTGATTGCTAAGTGTCTCTGCCTATTACGAACAACAGCGCCACGCCCGGCTCGCCCGCTAATGAGCACCCGTCTTTCCTGAGTGGCGTGCGCGCCGCCCTATCGGCGAGCGCGACGGCCGGCGGGGGGCGGGCGTTGTTCCGTGGGCCCCCTCCGCACAGCCTCCCGAGCGGCGGGCGCGGTCGGTGCCGGTGCCATGGCGGAGAGCGACTGGGACACGGTCACGGTGCTGCGCAAGAAGGGCCCCAGCGCGGCCCAGGCCAAGTCCAAACAGGTCAGCGGGGTGCTGGAGGTGGGGAGCGGCCTAGGCCGAGGCTGCGGTTTCGCTCGGGCCTCGGCCGCGGGTTCGGCCTGCGAATGAGGCCTGAGCGAGCCTGCGGCGGTTGCTGAGGGGGCGACTCCCGGTAGCGAAGCGCTCACCTCGGCCCCTTTTCCCCTCCCCAGGCCATCTTGGCGGCCCAGCGGCGCGGAGAGGACGTGGAGACCTCCAAGAAGTGTGGGTATCCCGCGGCCGGGCTCCCCCTCAGCTCGGGGGGGCAGAAGGCAGCACTCCTCCCCCAGCACAGTTAAAAGCCGCCCTCACCGGGGCTGCCTAGAGCTGAGAATCGCTGGAAGGTGGAGAGGGCGCTCCCTTGTAGCCAGCTCCGAGTTTCTGGTTGCCCAGAGCTGAGTGCTCTCTAGTGTCTGCTCCACTCTTGGAAGAGCTTTCATGATTGCAAAACTTCCAATTTTTACAGCTTATTTCTCGTGTTGATAACATAGGCTTAAAGATTTCAATGGCTGTTTATCTTCCTTCTTTAAAAATTACGTATTTCCTGTCCAGGGTAAATCCTCAGGCTCTCTCACCACAGGGTGAGAGTAGGGGCGTTGGAAGTAAATAAATAGGTGATCCTTGCAGGAGGTTTTAGTCAGTTGCATTAAGAGGCTGAATGTCAGAGACTAATGTGAGAGAAAGGTTTCAAACTGTGACTTAAATACTGTAACTAATGAGACGAAGCAAATAGCATGTTTTTGAAGCTAAGTAGGGTTAGAGTTTACTTATAAAAGGCATCAGAAAATCGATCAAAAGCCACTTATTCACACCACCTTACACCTGAGCAAACAAGATACAAGTTCAAATATTAACCCTCGCATGCTGTAGCACAAACACGTGTGTCTGGAGTGGTTTGAATATTAAATCTCCAAGCAATAGCAAGATCTTGTGTATCTGGAGTGAAGTTCAGATGTGAAGTAGTGAAAGGGGAGGACTCTGCATGGCTGTGTTTAGACATAAGCCTTAACAGGATTAAGATAACATGTTCTCTGGTGGACAGGATCCGGTTGAGATTAGTGTTGATGTTGGCATGTTGAAATCTTGAAAGCTCCCTGGGATCCTGGGCAGCTGAGTGCTTACAAAAAGTGCTTTGATGCTTTTTGGCGCAGCTCTAAGCCTTGTTTTGTTTGTCCTTGGTTGGATTTTTTTTTTTGTTCTTGCTTCGAATGATAGGGGCAGCAGGCCAAAACAAACAACACTTTATTACAAAGAACACGGCCAAGCTCGACCGAGAAACAGAAGAGCTGCACCATGACAGAGTTCCGCTGGAGGTGGGCAAAGTGATCCAGCAGGGCCGACAGAGCAAGGGCATGACGCAGAAGGACTTGGCCACAGTGAGTATGGTCCAGGACCCACTGGCCTCTGCTCCTGCTCTCCTGAGGCAGGTTTAGGCACCTCAGGGTGAAGGTGGACACTTTTCCCATTCCCTGGTGGGCAGCTGCACTGGGGTGGTATCACAAACAGGAAGTTTGGTGAATGCAACATCTCTGATGTCTGATGTTCAGGCAACATCAGTTATCTGGGAGATGTTTTGGGGGTTTATCTGTGCAGCCCCTCAACACCAGCTTGGAGACAGGGTGTTCCTGCAGCTGTTGAGTTGGTAGGACGCTTTTTTTTTTCCCTTCTCCTCCCATCAACTGAGCACCACTATTGAGGTTTTTTGTGTCATCTGGGGCTGACGCAGTGTTTGGAAGGTCACCGCTGTCTTAAAGAACAGCGATATGTAGTGCTACTGCTCCTCCCGGGAGACTGAGGGAGGCAGAAATCTGTCCAGGGTGGATGTCACTTTTGCTGTGACGCTCAATAGTGGTGATGGAATAAGCCTGGAAGTAGCACTCTGTCCTCCCGCTCTGGCATAATTAGAGGCTGTTACTTACCTGTGGGAGTTGAGGTGGCTGGTGCTGAGTGTTTGCTGTGTATGGAGCCAGTGTTTGAGACGCATCCTCTCTTTTTAGAAAATCAATGAAAAACCACAAGTTATTGCTGACTACGAATCAGGAAGAGCAATCCCTAATAACCAAGTTATGGGCAAGATCGAAAGAGCCATCGGTAAGTTAAGAAAGGAGAATTCAAAAATAACGTCGGCACCCTCTATGCCTGGCAGGACTATTCTGGTTTACCTCACCTACGTGTTCCGCATCAGGAAGTTGCTGGCTGTAGGTTGTTGTGGGTGCGGTGTCATTAAGCTGTGTTCTGATAAAACTGGGATCTGCTGACTGAAACCAGAGCTCAGAGCTCTTGTTTTCGTTTGTTCTTCATGTGTAGGGCCATGCCCTGGGTGCCACCCCTGTATGCTTCCCTCCCCCCAAATCAACAACATACTGAGACCCACAAAGGCCTGATTATCCTTGGGAGAGGATCTTGCAGCCACTAGTGTTGATGTTACTGTCCTAACCTGGTTCAGATGCCGTTTTGTGGGAAGACAGTGCACAAACAAGAATTGGAGCTTTGTCTGAAACTAGTCTGGGGCTCCTAGAAAGTAAAGCAGGATTCTCCCTAACTCTGGTTCTCCTGCCCTCTTTTTTCACATAGTTTTTTTTCCTTATAGCAAGAATTTGAGGAAATGAGGAAATAAAGTTATTGGGTAAATGATTGAGTGCTGATGGAGGTCATCTCCTTTGTTTTATTCCAGGCCTTAAGCTGCGTGGGAAGGATATTGGAAAACCGCTGGAAACCGGCCCCAAAGGGAAATGACAACAAAGCCTCGAAATCAGTTTGTCCAGACTGATCTCGTCTGGCTGGTTCTCCTTAACCACCAGAATCTCTCTTCGTATTGCCAAGCTGAACAAGAGGGTTTCAGACTTGCTTTGGGGGGGGGGAAATCTGCTGAATCTGTACCTGCTGTAAAAAGGCAACCTTAAAGAAGCGATTTTCCTGATTTTGTTTTTCCTTCCTCCTTTCCAGAGACCGAGGAACTAAGCCCCAAAAAATACCACATCTGAAAAACATGTGCGTCTTGGTGTTTAGAAGCAGCTAATGTTGAGACACTTGGGGTGGTCTGAAATGCCATCATTTAATTGGAAAAATTTGTGGGAGGGGTGGGGTATATTATATATAAATAATTTGGGAGAGTTGGGGGTTGATCAGTGTCTGCATTTGAAACGATGACTCAGTCACTGCATCACAATGACATTTTTGTTTGTTCCTTCCAGCCTGTTTTAAAAAGAGATCTATAATAAAGTTTGATACCCTTCAGATGCACAGGGTGCTGGCTGCGTGGTTACCAGCTGTTCCGGGCTGTGGCTGGAGCTGCAGCACCCTCTTCCTTTGGGAAGTGTTAATTAGTGGGACGGCTGGGAGCGCGTGGCGCAGGGGCTGGGGCAGCCTTCCTGCCTGCTCTGCCCTCTCCCAGCAGTGAGCACTGCAGCTTTGGCTGGCGGCCCAGGGATGAAATCAGCCCTGTGTTTTTATCCTGTGCGGAGGTGAGCGGAGCCTTGGAGCTCCAGAGAGCCAGGCGGGGCATTTCCATGGAGCCAGAGCCCTCCTTGTCTCTCGCCTCCCTCTTTCCCTGGCTCCCACCAGCACAGCTCTGCTGGGCGCTGGTTTGGGCAGGCCAGTGCTGTGGTGGAGCTGGAGCGGTGGTTCTCAGTGAGTGTGGCGTAACCCAAGTGAGATGGAGCTGAAGAGAGAGTTGTCTGTGGCAGGGTGAGAGGAAAAACAGGCTTCGGTGGCAAACTGGGAAAGCAGGACACCCCGATCCCCTCCGGATGAGCTCCAGGGTTTGAGCTAATCCCCAGGTGGGGATGTGAACCAGTCTGGCTGCTGTTGGACTTGGGTGGCAGGTCTGGCCGTGGGCTGCTTAGGGCTGCACAGGATTAAATTAAATTTTGAAAGCTGGGGGGGGAAGAGGAGTCCTGGGCTCAGAGCAGCCTGGGTGCAGTGTGAGCGCCCTGGCCCTGAGCCCAGCCTGCACCTCGGGAACATCTTTCTTTTTCTCAATGACCTTTAAATGCAAATTATTGAGAGCAAGAGCCTTTGAAAGGCTGTCCTGCAGTAGGTGGGCACCTGTACAGCAGTGTCGGGGCTGTGCTCTGCCCTCGGTGTGCTGCCTGGTGACCCCTCCACTCCCTGCCCTCCCCAGATCCCCCTCCAAACCCAGCAGAGCCCTGGGCTTCCTCGCCAGGGCTCTGTGCCCTGCAAGGTCTTGTGCTTAATCCTGGGTGTGGGAAGGGGCAGCACTCGCTGATCTCCCTAGCCCTGGGGGGCCAGGACTGTGCACTTCACCCCCTTCCATGGCCAGGACCCTGCTTGGACAAGGACGGTCCCTGCACGAAACGCCTGATAAAGCCTGTCAAAGCACGGGCACGCCAATACATCTTGGTGCAGAAAATTCATGTTACAAAAACCAATGCTTTCCCCGAGCAATGGAGGTAGTGGAGGCAGTGGCACGTCCCTCGGTGGGTCTGGCACCCTGGGGTGAGTGCCCACAGCAGCTCCTCGTGTCGCCGCTGAGGACTGCGGGCGGCTGCGGAGTGTGAGGGCTGCGGGAGGGACACTGCCCCGCACGCGCCTCGCCGGCGGGAGTGGGCAATTACTGCTGCTGGCTTAGTACTTCAAACGTCATCCCCCTCTTTTGGCTCTGGAGAGATAATGACCTTGTCCTGTAAAGAAAGGTGAACGGGAATCAGTTACAGTAGGTGTAGGTTGTGTCTAATTTGAAATTGAAGGACTTCTTCCAGGCTGCAGAGGGGAGAACTCTGTCGGCCTGCCATCACCGCAGCAGAGGAACCAAAGCCTTCAGCACCCCTAGGGGGGCTCCACGGCCTGCCTGGGGGTCAGTCCTGGGGCGGTGGCTCTGCTGGGGGTTATGTGGCACCAAAACCATCAAAGGAAACTGTAGCTTTAACTGCTTCTCACAGTTTTAAGTTGCTGTCTTGAAGAGAATGAGCAATGTTTGCATGACCTGTTCCCTGCAGGGCTCTGGGGAGGAGGATCGCAGCCTCAGCTCTTTCTGGAGCAACTGCCTGGTGGCAGCAGCAGCACTTCGGGGTCAGTCCTACAGCTCGAGGTCACTTGTTCGCAGGCAAGCAGATAAGAGGCAGAGCCCTTTGTACCTTCCTTACGTGTTGGCAGAGTGTGGGCTCAGGGGGAGCCTGATGGGATTTGCTGAGCTTTTAAGAAAATGCTGTTTTGGTGTGGTTGGAGGAGCAGGAGAGCCCTTCCCCCCTGTCCTTACATCTCGAAAAGTGATGTTGTCAAAGCCCTGGGGAGCATTGCTCTCCGCTGATGTCCTGCTTGCTGGCCCTCGCGGCTTCAGCCAGTACCAGCCTCCGGCAGCCACCAGCGCCACGATGATGATGGCCAGGAGAAGACCGAGCACCACCTCTGCCACAAAGCTGCCAGAGGATTTCTCTGCAGGGAGAAGAGACGCTGCCAGGCTCAATTCACCACCCAGGAGGGCTGGGTCCTGCACCCCTCAGCGCCAGCACCCCGAGCAGTGCTGGGTTGGCCTTTCACAGCCAGAACCAGCCCCACACCTTCCACTGGCACCTCCAGGCTGGAATGGCAGCCCCCCCTGCTGCTGTACACGATGTCGTCCAGTGCCACGGTCCCCACCATTGGCCACCTCCGCGTGGTGATCTCAAAGATGATCTGTGGGGAGAGATATGCCATGTGTGGGGGTGATGCCTGGGAAAGGCACCCCACACCCCTGGAGGGCACCCTGCACCCCATGGCCACCATACTCACCTGGAACTCACTGGGGCTCTGCACAGGCACCACGCCATGCTGCCAGCCCTGGCTCCGGTGCCCCGCCATGCTCCACACTGTGCGCTGCCCCGCCACACTCTGCAGCCTCACCCGCAGCTCCCCACGGGCTGCAATGTGGAGGGGGACAGGTACCCTGGCATCCATGGAGCCCCCCAGGAGCCACCCGGCCCTGCCATCCTCCCTTGGGATGGCAGCACCCAGCAGGAACAGGCCATCCCCACCACCCACCCGGCGCTGAACTGCAGTGTCCACGGTCCCATGGGTGGGAAGGGGGTTTTCAGCCCCTGAACAAGCCTCCCGCTCCTATTGTGGGCTCCTGATGCCCTCCCCAGGGACAGCTCCCCTCCCTGTGGTGCTTACAGAGGTGCTCCGGGATGTCCATGTGGTACCAGAACTGCAGGCAGGAGTCAGCAGCAGCAGGCAGGTGCTGGCTCTCCAGCTGGGCAGTGGTGCCCCCCAGGCCCAGCACGCTGGTGTCAAAGTGCATGTAGTGACCTGGACAGGTAGGAATAGAGCACAGGGTGTCCCCCAGTCCTGCAGCCCCCTCCCCACATGTCCTGCTCCCCTGCAAAACCCCCAGAGCAATGCCTGGAGGATTGTACCCCTCAGGGCCGCTCCTCACAGCCTTTGGGACCAAGCCTTTCCTCTTGGGCGAGGAGGGGAAGGGGATGCTGTGAGGCCAGGCCCCCAGGGACGCACTGTGCAGGGGCCATTCATGGGTGACCCCATCCATCCCCAGCTCCTTTTCCTCCCCCGAGCCGTGCCATGGTGCCCTGGGAGGGACGGGTTTCTCCTACCGTCCCTTGTGCCCAGGGTGTGATCCTGCTCAGGGCCAGGGTACTTGGCAAGGGGGACCCCACTCTTCCAGCCCCAGGCGAAGCTGTGCAGGCGGGGATCCGAGGGGCTGCTCCAGCCGCACATGTCCCGCTCGAAGTCACAGGATGCTGAGAAGAAAGTGGGGGGGCTGTGATGCACCCAGTGCCACAGGCACCCCCCAGTCCTGCGCTGCCTGGTGAGAGACAGGGCATACGGGGGGAGCAGCCCCCAGCTCCTTTCCCACCACCCCCAGCTTCGGGCCAGGCCAAGCTCAGGGCAGGAGCGCCTGGCGGCCACAACAGAGCTGTGATGGATGGGATGGGCTGTCCCCATCCCCATGGCCATGTGCCCCCATGGGGTGCCCTGTCCCCCCGAGACAGTCCACGGTCCCCCTGCAGTGTGGGCTCTCACCTGGCTCGGGGCAGGCTCCGTCCAACACATGCAGGTCATCCAGTGCGATGTATCCATGGCTGCCCCCAGCTCCCACCGCCTCGAATACGGCCTGCCGGAGGGGGGGCAGGGTGGGACACTGAGGCTGGCACCTGCCATGCTCTCCTTGTCACCCCTGTCTGGCTCCCTGCCGCCAGGTTCCCAGCACCCTGCCCCGTTTCACCTGCCAGTCCCCATCTGGCCGGACAGTGACGTGGCCGAGGTGCCAGGCGTCCCCCTCCATCGCGCTCACACTCATCACCTTCCTCCGCACCCCGCTCTCCTCCACAAAGACGCCAAGAGATCCTGCCCAGGGCACACACCATGGAGGAGGGGTCTGGGCTGTGCCGTGCAGGACCCCCACCCCTGCAGATTTGTCCCCAGGGGCCTCGCAGGGGGTCATGATACTCACCTGGGGTCCCAGTGCTCAGCTGGTACCAGAAGGCCAGGCACTGGGTGGGTGTGGAGGGCTGGTAGGGCTGGGAGGTGAGGACGGCCGTGTGCCCCGCTGGCAGGGAGACCCTGCCCGTGCTCACCACCATGTAGTGGCCTGGGGGGAGAGAAACCCCTGTGTCATGACCCCTGTCCCTGGGGGAGCACCAGAGGACTGCCAGGGCTGGGGTGCCCCTCCAGGTTGGGGAGCCCTAGGGCTGGGAAACTCCAGGTTTGGGGAGCCCTGGGATTGGGGAGCCCCATACAGTAGTGCCCTCTGCATATCCTGGGCAGAGCGGGCAGGGAGGACACTCAGGACAAGCAGGGCAGGGCAGGGCAGACAGGGAGGGCAGGGAGAAAACTCGGGGCAGGCAGGGAGGGCAAGCACGGAGGATAGGGAGAGCGGGCAAGCAGCAGGGCTCCAGCAGAGCCGCAGGAAGCCATGGCCCCGGTACCTGTGGCGGTGCCAGTGGTGTGGTCGGCTGAGGGGCCGCGGGTGGTGCCAGTGCTGTTGCTCTGTCGCAGCCAGGTATGCTGCTCACTGGCTGCCAGCCCGCAGGCATCTGCCTCAAAGGAGCAGGAGAGCTCAGCCCCGCAAGGTCCCGCTCTCAGTGCCAGGTCATCTAGTGCCACATCCCCCAGGAACGCGTTCCGCAGGGCCTCGAAGGACAACTGCCACCAAGACAGTAGTGTCAGATGGCACCATGCCCCACTGTTACCCAGGGGAGTTGGGGGGGGGGGGGGGGGGGACACCTGGCCCTCCCCCG